AGTGAACAGAGTCTGTTGGGTCTCGCGGATAACTTGATCGATGTCGGGGGCTGAGCTCGTGGCTTGATGGAACATGGAGTTCATCTACCGAATGGTGTAGTCGGTCTGGTTCTGGAATCCTTCGAAGGATTCGCAGTCGACTAGGCTTCTTGAGCCAGCACCAAGGTGGATAGACCGAGTCGGATCGTTTGGAGCCTGAGTTCCGAGATGTTGGTGAACAAACTCTATGGGTTGTTCGCGGATCCCGTTAGGGATTCTTGAGCTCGAGGTCGTGTTCGGTTGTTGACTGAACTGAGGCGATATCTGCAAACCCGAGGCGAAGGCCGAGGACCTAAGCCATCTCTGTCGAGGTGGCTCGGTTGCAGGTGGTCATAAAGGTGGAGATGGATATCTCGTGTTGGGACGGGGTCCCATTTCGTGTATTCCTGGTGTTGGCACAGGTGGAGATGGATATTTCGTCGCAGGACGAGGTCCATCTCTGGTATTCCTGGAGCCGGAATACCCATGGAGATTGGTGTCTGATTCGCTGCGGGGGCGAAGTTTGGTGGACCTGGAGCACGCAGAGGTGTCAGGAATTGTCCGGGTGGATTACTCGGAGCAGGGATCGACGAAAAGTCGAGCTGAGTCCATGGAGGTGGACTCGCAGCGGATCGAGCTGCGGCTTGACGCCTCTCCTGTCATCTAATCTGATATCCTGATCTCATTGTCGATCGATCAGATGTGTGAGCATTTGGAGTATTTCCGCCGACTCCGATGTGCTCCTAGAAGCTAGAGGTAGTGGCGGAGAAACAGGAGCTGCTCAGCTCTTAAATGCCGAAGTTGTAGGTGGATTCTCATATCGCACCCAGGTTCGAGAGGGAGGCCACTCGGCTGTTTGTTACTGGTTACTCGTCGTTCCCGGTGGGGTGACAAGGTTTATCACGATCGGTTCCACACGGCTGGGAACGTTGGAGTTTGTGCTGGTGGTGTCGACGAGGGTCGTAACCCTGGGTTTGTTTCTGCCGGCTGTCTGGCTGACGCTGCCTGTCTGAGTGACTTGATCTGGAGAGATCGGAATATTAAGACATTTCCTGAGGTTTGTTGAGTTGAATCCATTTCGGTTTCAGCTGGCTTAGGATCTGCTCTTGAGTAAGAGAAATCTATTGATCTTCCCCACATGCGGCGCCAAAATGTGGATGCCGAAATCCACACTCAGAAATTTATGTGTTTTTGTAAGAGAGGAACTTTAGGAGAATTAAGAGCTAGATTCTCTCGAACAGATTGACATTATAAGCTAGCATTAACTGAAATAAGGACTTGATATTAATCGGTTGAATGAAACGTTTATAAGGATTTCTATGAAAGAAATGAAATGAAAAGAGCTCTGAGAGCAGATACAGAGTTTTCGTGTGTAAAAAGTGTAGAAGAAGATCAAGCCGAAGGTCCCTGAATTAAGCCGTTTATCTCCTTTATATAGCTCGCCTTGTCGAGCTTCAACCTCCAGCGTGTATCTCGGCCATGTGCAGCAGCTTCAGCGGGAAATCTCACCACGTGCAGCAGCTTCCTCCGCGAAATTCGGACTCGTTTGTACTGGCGAAAATATGCTCTGACTTGGCTCAGATCCTTCCTTGTTTCTTGGGATTTGATCGAGCTGGAGCTCGTCCTCGTCGAACGGAACGTTTTGTTGTTCAGGATTGGATCGTTGAGAGTGAATGAGCCTGGACCGTAGGGTTAAAGCCCGATCAATTTGGCTTAGTTTGAATTTGCCTGTTGGACTTGAGGATGCCGAATTTAGGGTGTTAAATCCAGCTTCAACACGAATATTTAAATTTAAACCTACATATACCAAAAGTATTATGAATCAAGTTTGGTTTGGTTTCTATCCATTTCAGGTTGGTTTGGTTCTTAATTTTCAAAATTGATAAATATTTTGATTTTTTGAATATAGTTCAGTTCGGATATTTTTTACATGAAATATCTAAAAATATATCTAAAAACTCCAAAAGTATCTTAATACCTTACAATATATCCGAATACCCGAAAAAAAACTAAAAATAAATACTCAAAAATCTGAAAAATATATCTAAACCTCCATAATATATCTATCCAAAATCATACCCATAATATCAAAAATATACTACCTAAAAAGTAATTAATGTATAAAACTAGGATTTAGTCCGCTTTACGTGCAGAGTAATTTTTTTTAATTTATTATATTTAAAAATTTAATTTTTCTTATCTATATTATTAATATATGGGTTGCATATTTTTGTTATATGATTTAATTGTTTGTTGGAATGGGAATGTTGTATTATTTGTGAATGATATTTTGGTTTCGTTTGTATGTGATATTTGTTTTAAGTTAATAATTTTGTATTTATAATTATTGTATTGTTTATCAATTATATTTTGTCATAGTTGAGAGTTTGATTTAAAATTTGATAGATTTATAAAAAATAAAAAAAAATATTGATAATTTGATTGTATAAAATAAAACATGAAATTCAAATTACTGTTAGTTATTGTTAGCAAATAAGAAGTTATGTAGAAAATTTTAAAAATTCAACAAATATAGTTAATGGATGTAAATGATTTGTCAAAATCACATTCTACTTTTGATCTAAAATTTCGATTTCCTCTAAAAGTAATTTTTTTGTATGAGATGTTTATTTTGCTATAGAAGTATTGTATTTTTATTAATAATATAGAAACCATTAAGTTTTATTTTTGGCATACATTATTAAATTTTAACCTACCATAAAGACGGGTTACTCTTTCTTTAATTTGTTTTCATTTTTATATTATTGATTCAATCCAAAAATCCTGTTATATTTAAGTTAGTTAGGTTTATCAACATAATTATTTTTTATCAAAATTTTTATTTCGTCAAAATCATCCCATTAATCTCAAATTTTGATTTCATATAAATATATATTTCTATACTAGATTTACTCTTACGTAAACACATTCTTAATACAATCTTATATATTAAATAACATTCTTACGTATTAAGCATGCATTTATGTTTGCGCACAATAAGTCTTTTTAAGATTAAAATTTATGTTTTTAATGTTATTTTGAGATTTTACCTATTAAAATTTAAAGTTTGAATGGTTAATTGTATTTTTTTTTTGTTAATTGTACTCATGTTTTAGTTAGAAAAATTCATATTATAAAAGTTTATTTGATTTTTAGTAAAAAGATAATATATTAAAAGTGTATTAAAATCTTCTCTCTATTTTAATAAGAAAATAATATGATTAATTGTTTTGTTAATCATAATAAAAAATTATTTTTATTATGATTAACAAAATCTAATATAGTTATATTTAAGTTAGTGAGGTTTATCAACATAATTATAGTTATATTTAAGTTATATTTAAGTTAATTAGGTTTATCAATATAATTATTTTTTTAAAGTTAGTTAGGTTTAACAACATAATTATTTTTTATCAAAATTTGTACTTCTTCAAAATCATCTCATTAATTTCAAATTTTTATTTCATATAGATATACATTTCTATATTAGATTTACTCTTATGTAAACACATGCTTAATATAATTTTATATATTAAATAACATTCTTATACGTATTAAGTATGCATTTACGTTTACGCACAATAAATATTTTTAAGATTAAAATTTATGTTTTTAATGTTATTTTGAGATTCTGACTATTAAAATTTAAAGTTTGAATGGTTAATTCTATTTTTTTTGTTAATTGTACTCATGTTTTAATTAGAAAAGTTCATATTATAAAAGTCTATTTGATTTTTAGTAAAAAGATAATATATTAAAAGTATATTAAAATCTTCTCTCCAATTTAATAAGAAAATAAAATAATTAATTTTTTTGTTAATCGTACCGATTTGATTGTATAAAACCTATCATATACATACATGTCGGTTTATAATCTAAATCAAATATCAAACCATTAAATTTTATATTAAACCAAATTAAATTTATAATTAATAAAAAATTAGAAAAAAAAACTAAAACCTGGTCTTCTTTCTCTCTCGCCTTCTATCTCTCATCTCTCTTTCCACAAAATCAAAAAGGCAATCAAAATTTGACATCTGAGGGAATTGATAAAAAAAATAATCAAAACCAGCTAAAAATCCAGAGAGGGGATTGGGTATCTCGGAGTATGTGAGGAAGAAGATGAAAGGAATTAAAAGAAAAAAAACAAATGTTTGGAAAGAGGTTGGAAAAGCAACTCCACGCTGTTTTTCTACTTCAGTTTTTTCATGTCGCATCCATACACGAATATACAGCAAATCTAGCTCAAATTCGTCGCTTCAGATCTCGAATTTTAGTTAATTTGATCCAAAAATAGAGATACTTTTCGCTCAGATCCAGGCTGACCTCCGTTCGAATGACGCGCTTCGCCAGTCATCGGTGCTTCGCCAGTCATCAACTATTTTTCAGGCGCTGCAGAAATCGGCCGTCGGAAATTTAATTATATCGGTGATCGTAAAATCTGCAGTGGAGGAGATTGTTGCTTCTTCGACGTCGGCTGTTTTTCTTTTTCTTCCCATTTTGTGAAAGGTTCCTAAATAAATTTAATCAGGGGTCTTCAATTAACAACTTCGATCCATTTGATTCCATTTTTGGACCTCTCAGAAACATACAAAGGTATATTGTTTAAATCATATGTATTTTTCTGGGTTATTATGATTACTGAATCTGCTTTGTGAGTCTGTCTCTTAAAATATATATATTTTTAGTTTTCTTTGTGACTATGCTTGAGCAAGGCTTGTTGTGGATTGGCTGATTGATATCTCATTGAAAATTAAGTTTTTTTGTTGTTGAATGTGTCAAAAACGTTTTGTATAATAACACACATAATCGGCTCTGAAATCTCAAATTTTAATAGTATTATAGAACACTTGCTCTGTAGCTTGCGCAAAAGTTTAACTTCCATGTAGTCTATTTTGAAAATTCAGCTCATTCAGATCATTCTCTAAGTTTCTCATTCATTTTAGTCTATTTGCTTTTGATTTCTAATGTTCTTCATGTGTTCAGTGTAATAAAATAAGATTTTCAGAGGCCATCTCATTCCACCGGAATCCAATCATTGCCACATCATGATGACGATTCAAAGGTTCGCTTTGAACTATCAAATATGCAGTATCCAGTCTCCAAACACTTCCATGGTCCAGTGGACTTATGTGCCAAAGATTTCGAAATGGTCAGTTTCTGTAATCACTAGCTCTACAACTCATACAATTTTCCTTACATTCGTTGTATAGCTCTAGTTATTTTGCTTGTGGTTAATCTGAAAATGTATTTATCAAAACCATTAGTCTAATTGTATAACAGAAATTATTCAACTCATACATGATAAATGAAATATTAGGCTGGTATAAGCTTCTGAAATTGAAAAAAAAAACTAAAAATCACCAAAGCTAATAATTTAAACTACCTTAGTGTTTCAAAGACTTTATTCTGCTTAGCCTGAAGTGAACAATCCGGTCAGTGTGTATTGGCATTGTTAATTAGGTATTTTTCAATTGACTTTCAATATATTACTATTAGATAGGGACTAACCTTTGATAGTACATTAAAAAGTGTTCGTACTTAGGGATTTTGTAAGTCAAGAAAGAGCTTTTGGTTTATTTTCCATTCATGACTCTATTACAATTTCCCTACAATGAATACCATCAAAACAAAATGTGATTAGTAAACATGAAATATATAAGAGAAAATATATATATATATATATGTTAAAATTTTGTAATAGATTTCTAGAATTAACCTTTGAATCATAGAAACTTAGCTCCATCATTTCTTAAAACTCTTATGTTGCCTCCACATCGAGATAGGTAATCCTACACGCAAATGAAACATAATATTAGATAGCTGCAGTAAACTTAAAAAGCTGAAATATAATTTATGTGAAAGCTGTTTATTTCATTTTTCCTTGATCCGACATTCAGATTTCAGGTTTGAACTGGTTTTTCAGAAGTAAAATATTGCATACTAAAAACAGGTTAGTTTATTATCTTTTAAAATAGTATCATAAGGTCTTTGATCTGAATTGGAGACGTATATGTAGTTGACTTAATGGAAAACATAGTAATATATAAAAACTTACTTTTCTTTTTTTGTTAACAAACTCCATAAATTAAATAAAAGTATATCGGTTTGATGATGATCTCAACGAGTCAAACCAAGCCGGTTCATTATGACTTACATGGGAAAAAATAATACTTCGTACTCGCCCTCTTAGCAAGGGTGCCAAGTATATTGGTACAAACATTTTGAATAAGCGGAATCGAATATAGACTAAAAACTCGAAACCTATCCGCATATCTGCCAAGTAATCTAACTCCAACGTGAAAGCAGGCCAATCAGTTGGTTCCCCAACCATGCTGATCAGATCCGAGCAGTCTGTCTCGATCCTAACAGAGGTGACCCCCCGCTTTCTAAGGCAAAACATTGCCCAGAGAAGTCCTTCGAACTCTGCATGAAGGGGTGACAGACACCTCCGGCAGCCCTTCATGCCATACATATGATGTCCCAGCACATCTTCGAGGCACCACCCCAGCCCACTAGCTGGCCCATGATCAATCCAGGAAGCGTCAATCTGGCAGATCAGAATATGGGGGAGTAATGGGGTGGTGCACAGGTTGCCTGACGACAGGAGGGTTTCTTCTTCTTCTTCTTCCTCCTTTTGCTTTGCTACTTTCCAACACTCCGCCTCAAGGCGCGCTAGTTGAAAAGTTTCCGATGAAGGCACTATTTTGTTATTAAAAACTTTCTCATTACGTGTTTTCAGATATACCACAAGATCCAAGGATAAATATCCTTTTGAGTTTGGGGGGTACCCTTTCCTTTACTCTCCAAAATAGAAAGTCCATATTTTGGTATAGAGATGTACTCGGGAAATAACCCGGACTAGGTGAAATATCTGCAAGGGCCCACACTTGAAAGGCAAGGGGACACTCGAAAAGGAGATGGTTAATTGTTTCTTCTTGCGCCCCACATCTTGGGCATCGAGCTTCCACGTCCATATGTCGAAATTTGAGGCGCTCACAAGTGGCCACACAACCTGATAATGCTTGCCAGATAAAGTGTTGTAGTTTGCTTGCTGTCTGGACCTTCCAAACATATTTAAGGAGAGGTGTGATGCTTGGTTCGCACGCTACTTGTATCCCTTTGTTCTCTTTAAGCAGTCTTGCTTGATGATAGCCTGGTTTTACCGTATACATGATATATCATAGTTTTTATGGTTTTTAACCATGATATAAGTTCTTTTTATTGAGTCTTTTTGGTCTTTTTAGAGTCCTAGAAGAGTCTTTCCAGGTTATAGCATGTCTGGAGCATAACTGGAGATATTGGAGCTTTTTGGAGCATTGCAAGTTGAAGCCACGAAGTATCCAACTCGGGAAGGAAAGTATGCATATGGGTGACGCTCGTCACCACTTTTGGTGACGCTCGTCACCCAGAAAGGAAGGGGTCGTGGCCTGTTTTAAAAAGATTGGGAAAAAATTGCAGTTTTGGCTCAGAAGTTCTAGTTTATGCAAAAAGGCCCCAGATCGTGTTTTAGCTTGTATATTAGGTTTTTCAGCCATTCTTTTGGCAGATATCTTGTATCTTATTATTTTTGAGAGCTTTAGAGAGAGATTTGTAGAAGAGCTTTTGGAGAGACAAATCAGACTCCTTCAGAGCAGATTTTGAACTCCTTTATTTCTACTTCTTATTTCTTTTATGCAATCTATTCTTTTCATGATGTTTTCTCAAATCACCATGTCTGAGTAGTTTGTTAGTTAAGTTAGGGCTTTTCAAAGGTTGAAGAAGAGTTTGTAGAATTGCTAAAAACTTTTAGGAAATTCATTGGTTCTTCATATGTGCTTGCATTCATATTGATTTCTTAGACACATCATCTGGATTTCGAAACCCTAGGTTGTTTGATAGATGTGAGAGCATTATTAATCACCTGAACTAGTATTAGATGAGCAAAACGCCCTAGTACAAAGAGATTTGGCTTAGGAGTTTTGTGAACAATTGAACCTGATCATTATTGCATGTTTAGATTGTTAGAGTTTGCAAAGAAATTTGAAACTCTGTGATTTAGACATAGATAACTTCTGCAATGAGAATTGATTAGTTATATCTTTGCGATTCATGTTCAAGACGGTTTTAATTCATTCCTGATTGCATGCATTCTACACTCTCAGATTCAACCTGCGAACTGTCCTGACTTAGCGCCTTTAGCCTTCTGAACTTTAAGAACAAGCATAAAAACGCCCTCTTGCATTTATTTTACTGTTTTGCATTACATTCATTATTTATCGCTTAGCTTAATCTGAATCTATAATCGCTAGTGTGGTTTACATACTCCCTTGGGATTCAATAACCCCTTGTGCTACAACTGCTTTTGCTGTGCACTTGCAGTAGTTTTATTTGGGTAAAACCTGACCCTATCAATACACTCCTGATTTTGTATGACTCCATGCATACCCATTGAGAGTAAGAGCTCGACTTGGACGCAACCCTAGAATCCGGGGAATGTCTTTCGGGTGGAAGAGATTCCTAATAAGCCTCTCATCCCATTCTTTTATGTCTTGTGTTATTAGACTATGAACCAAGAAATGGTTTTCTCTGATTATGTCCGGGTTGGCTGGTCTCGGTGGCCTAGCCGAGACGGCTGGGAGCCAAGGCTCACTCCACACTTCCGTATTGAAACCTGATCCTATCGTCTTACGAAGTCCGCTTCGTAAGAGAGGTTTAGCCGCCATGAGACTCTGCCACCCAAGTGATGGGGAATAAGGTTTGTGGTCGCCTAGGACGTTTGATTGTCGATAGTAACGTCCTCGCAGGACCCTTGCTAGGAGTGAGGAAGGAAATTGGACCAGGCGCCATAACTGTTTTGCTAAGAGTGTTATGTTGAAATTACGCAAGTCGCGGAAACCCAAACCACCCAACTCCTTTGGAGAACATAGCTTATCCCAAACGATCCAGTGGATGCCTTTTTTTGTCTTGTTTAGAACTCCACCAAAAATTCGAGATAGCACTCGTGAGTTTGTCTATCAAGGATTGCGGGAGGAGGTAGCACAATATAACGTAGGTCAGAATTGCTTGTGCAACTGATTTGATTTGAATCTCCTTACCTCCTTTCGTCAAGAGCTTTACTGACCATGAATTGGTCCAATTACATAGATGGTCTTGGACATATGCGAAGACTTTCTTCTTTGAGCCGCAGATTTTCTCTGGGAGACCAAAATACATCCCATTCATCCTTCATTACTGATACCTAACGCGGATTTGATCTCTTGTTTAACCAAATTGTTTTATACTCCCCTTCACCCATCTCTCAGCGAAACCCAATTTAAGAAGTAAGGCCTCTAAGAAACTCAATTCAACCCTATCATACGCTTTGCTCATATCTGTCTTTATGGCCATATACTTCGAGTTACACATGGGATTAGTGCGGAGGGCATGAAAGTTTTCTTGCGCAAGCATTATATTATCCGTGATCAGTCGTCTAGCCATAAAGGCTGATTGGGTCTCCGAAATTAATGTCGGGATAGCTCTTTTTAGCCTCTTACAAAGGATCTTTGAGATGATCATATAAGTCACATTGCGAAGGCTTATTGGTCGGAATTCTGCCATTGCTCTTGGTTTATGCTTTTTGGGGATTAAGCAAATGTTAGTCTGGCTGTGTCTTGGATCAAATCTTCGGATTGTAAAGAAGTCCTTGACTAGCTTTATTATATCATGGCTTGTAATTGACCAAAACTTCTGAAAAAACGACTTGTCATACCGTCCGGGCCTGGGGCTTTATCGGGGTTTATATAAAAAAGAGCCGCTCTTATCTCTTCATTTGACGGATCTTCCAGATGGAACGAGTTAGTGGTGGCAGAGACTTTCTCGGTAATAAACAGGAGTGCATCCCCGGGGTCGGTGGAGAGGAAGAGGTGAACAGGTCTTGGAAGTAAAGGATTGCTACCTTCTCTATCTCTTTCACACTTTCAACCCAAGTTCCATTCTTATCTTTTAGAGAGATAATACAATTTCGAGCCCTTCTCTGTTTGGTGATGGCATGATGGAATTTTGTGTTCTTATCTCCCGTTGTATGCCATGTAACTCTACTATTTTGTCTCCAAAACCGTTCTTCTCGAAAAGCTCCAATGAGTCTTCTCTTTATATCTTCTATCTTTTCTTGGGTAAAATTGTCATCAGCGTGTGCTAGGTCAAGCTGTTCTTTCAATACTTCGATAAGTTTTGTTGTATTTGATGGTAGTATTTTTTTTTCCAGCGGGAGATGGTCCTACGACATGAAGATAATCTCTGATGTACATTCCGATAGGGATAGTCATCAAAGGGTCCCCATCCCGTAGCCACTGCCTCCTTGAAACCGGGTTTTCTCACCCATCGGATATCAAACCTAAAGCTCTTTTTTGCTGCAGCTTTAGGTCCGGTGTTTTTGAAAGTGAGACTCTTTTTTGCCGAGCTTCCCGTCTCAGAGGAGTCTCCCATGTCAATGCCTTTGCCTTTGCCCAATGAATCAATCCCCGATTTCCGCTGCAGATTCAGACGGAAAGGATGTTCCCGCTGGTGATCTGGTGACACATATGCTTATCCTTCGCTGCAGCTTTAGGTCCGGTGTTTTCGAAAGTGAGACTCTTTTTTGCCGAGCTTCCCGTCTCAGAGGAGTCTCCCATGTCAATGCCTTTGCCTTTGCCCAATGAACCAATCCCCGATTTCCGCTGCAGATTCAGACGGAAAGGATGTTCCCGCTGGTGATCTGGTGACACATATGCTTATCCTTCGCTGCAGCTTTAGGTCCGGTGTTTTCGAAAGTGAGACTCTTTTTTGCAGAGCTTCTCGTCTCAGAGGAGTCTCCCATGTCAATGCCTTTGCCTTTGCCCAATGAATCAATCTCCGATTTCCGCTGCAGATTCAGGCGGAAAGGGCGTTCCCGCTGGTTATCTGGTGAGACATAGGCCTGTTTTGCAGTCTGGCGAGCCCGTGGAACTTCGGAGATGGTACGTCCTGAGTTTGATTCTCGATTTGAGTTGCTAGGCGCATTCACAACGGGAGGTGTGTGCTTCCTGGGTTCCTTTAGATGAGTGTGGTTTCTTTGTGGGGAGGGGGGGGGGGGGGGGGGGGGGGGGGGGGAGGGGTTTATCCTTCGCTGCAGCTTTAGGTCCGGTGTTTTCGAAAGTGAGACTCTTTTTTGCCGAGCTTCCCGTCTCAGAGGAGTCTCCCATGTCAATGCCTTTGCCTTTGCCCAATGAATCAATCCCCGATTTCCGCTGCAGATTCAGACGGAAAGGACGTTCCCGCTGGTGATCTGGTGACACATATGCTTATCCTTCGCTGTAGCTTTAGGTCCGGTGTTTTCGAAAGTGAGACTCTTTTTTACCGAGCTTCCCGTCTCAGAGGAGTCTCCCATGTCAATGCCTTTGCCTTTGCCCAATGAATCAATCCCCGATTTCCGCTGCAGATTCAGACGGAAGGGACGTTCCCGCTGGTGATCTGGTGACACAAAGGCCTGTTTTGCAGTCTCGCGAGCCCGTGGAACTTCGGAGATGGTATGTCTTGAGTCTGATTCTCGATTTGAGTTGCTAGGCGCAATCACAATGGAAGGTGTGTGCTTCCTGGGTTCCCTTAGATGAGTGTGATTTCTTTGTTCACGAGCCCCCTCTCTTCTTATCGTAGATGGATGAATCTTTGTATCTTCTCTTACGGTACGAAGCTTCTGGTGGGGTTTCATTTTCCCGAGATCAGGGATTGGAGGCAAAACGAGGGTCATTCCGGGGGTCACGCCGATAGTCTGAAGGTTGTTCGATTCGTTGCCAAACACTATCTCTGACATGGTGATCGTTTCCTAACCTTGAGCGGTTTTGTTCATTTTGGGACATTGACGGGGGTCTGTATGGTCTTCTTGTTTCCATGTTGAACTCTTCCTCCTGTCTCGTCAAGCGAGGGGGATAGTGGCTGCTCCCCGCTTCGGCATTTTCCAGGATTACAGGTTGATTTCTCGCTTCCTCCATCCTGGTTCTGAATTTTGGGTTTTGTGCTGCTTCTCGTGCCTCTCTCTTTTCCTTTCTCTGCTTTTCAGTGAGCATGGGGCAGGATCTCTCCTCATGGGAGATATGGAAGCAAGTGAAGCACCACCGGAAATACCTTCTCATACTTGAGAGAGACATAGACAATTTCTCCTGAAGGTAGCTTTGCTTTTTTTTCAAAGCTTAGAGGTTCATCGATGTTTACTGTAACTTGAAACTTTGCAGATCTCTCTTCTACCTTTTGGACTTCTCCAAGAGCTCTTCCCAACCGCCTGAAGGTGGCATCCATCTAATAGTGAGTCGAGATTCCAGTAGTTTAAACCCAGAAGGTTATAGTGTTTGGGAATGTAGCACCCACATGGGGGATCCAGTGTTCGATGGAGAATGACCAATTGTTGAAGTGGCGGGTTCGCTTGCTCAACACCTTTTGGAGGTCGAGCTCGGAGTCGAAGTCGAACTGGAACCGGTAATTTCCCAGATCTACACCTCTGACTCTGCTTTCCACATCCCAGATGTTTGTTCTTGAAAGGAAGGCGATGAGGGCATCAGTGCTGCGTCCCTCTTGGCGGAACATCTTGCCCACAAGACTGAGATTGTATAGAGCAATTAGGCTTGAGTTATCCACATCTGGGAGGATTATCAGGTCTTCGTCTTCTTCGCTCTGTCGGCGAGATATGTGGCTGTTGCTGGAAATGGCTTGAGACATTGTTATGAAAACAGAGGAGTTCAACTTGTACTTGTCGAGATGTTGAGAGGGGGAGCACGGCGTGAGATACTTACCACAGGGCTAGAAAGAAGTGAGCGTACGTTACTAAGGGCTGGCTTTGTTTGGAGAAAAACCAGGAGAGCTGAAATCTGATCTCTTTGGTTAGTTGGAGAGGAGTCTTCGTGTGACAGAAGACCAAAATGTTGGGGGATTGATGACCAAAACCATGTTTTCAAAAGTCCGTACAAGGAGGTGTTAGAGAGAAAAATGTGTACGGCTTTTTAGGGCGAACTTGTTTCTACTCTATCTATTATTTTGTGTAAGAACATATATATAAAAAAAAAACTTATTTTAGCAAAAAATTATATATTTATTGGAATTTACCTCAAAACTTAAAATAGAGATGAGCTTAGAAATTTCTTTCGCTTAAATGAAATAGGCTCACTCCTTATGTCCAGAACCTGTAATCACAATATAGAACAGTGTTAGATTATAAGCATTACGATGATTAAGTTATGAGCTATATGTGTAGGTCTAATCTTAGTATTAACAACAAAACAGAGAACTTTCATAAAAGTAAAAGAGTCAACATTTTCAGCCGCATTATGAGAGAGAGGCGTAGAAAGATGATTAAAAGTGTGAACGATGTGTTAAGGTCTTAATGTCTCTATATATATTCATTGATCTAGGTTTTGCGTCAATCTTTTTCATATATTTTCATGCCCCTATTACGGAGCTAATAATATTATGTGTTCATAAAAAATCCTTGTTATCTGTGATGCTAGCATGTTGGTTATACGAAATATTTTTGGGTATCTTGGAAATATTCTTGTGTATCTTGTTAGCCTATTCTTCTGCAACTAAAATGTTTTTCAATTTTTTTAATGAAATTGCAGTGACTTATTTCCATAAACGAAGGCATGCATTATAATGCTCTTCGATCGAGTTAATTTTAGTTTAGATCCGCATCTTTTTTTCGATGTATTGGGTCGGGTCAACTCGGTAACTGAGTTGACTCAGTTCTTTTGTACAATATTATCCTCATATAATTCAGCACATTGATAGCATTTTTTTTTAAATATGATTGTTTTTTAAGTACCTCAAAAATGTACTTTTCAAATAATATTATAGAGATATTTTTGGATTATTTGGATAACCGATTGAATATCGGGTAATACCTGGAACCGAAGCAATATCCACAAGTACTAATGAAAAGTATCTATTGGATATTTTGCCTATAACCAAAACTGAACGGAACAGGTTATTTTGGGTCGGTTCAAATTGGGATTTTCGGTTCCAATTTTTCTTGCCCAGGCCTAGAGTTAACAACTTATTTAACATGACTTTATTATTGTTTTATTGTGAAAAACTCAACCCGGTTTGAAAACCATGATTTTATTACACGAAATTGCCAAACTGAAGTAAACGCCAAAATAAGAAAAACATCGGGCACAACACATAGTGATTAGTGAAGTGGTGAAAGACGAGGGAGAGCTCAAAGCAACATGCATGATCAAATTTGATATGATATTATAGATCAAGGACGTCATCACTTGGTGATGGGTGCGACACTGACCCCAATCTGATGGAGCTCGTGACTAGCTTTTCCATGGAACCCTACGATTTTGTGACCTTCCTTCTCGAGTATGAAGCTTGAGGCAGAACTCGATCCAAAAGGGGGAGAGGTTCGTACATTAGTCTTGAACTTAAGCATGGTTATTACTTCGGATTCACTTCCAAATATTCTATTGTAAAAACCCTCCACCGCCGTTAAGTATTCACTCGGATAATCCAACTCGAACTGCAAACGAAGTCCATTAAGAAAATATGATACAATTTATAAATTAATAGTTAGGTTTTAAGGAAATAACATAAAAGCAGTATAATAACCTCTTCGTATCCGAGCCTACCCTTCTTTCCATGATCTTCCCCTAACACCACCTGGTTGTTCTTGTCGTACACAACAACACCATTATGACTTTGTCCCACGTATATCTTTCTCACACCATCGAAAGCACCATCGTCCCACGAGACTCCTCCGTCACCGCCTTTTCCTTGTAGTTTCTCCACTGAAACAGGAAGAGGAATAGGGAGCGGGCCAAAATATGTCCCCATAGCATCAATAGCCTACCCTGCCCGGCCATGGAACCCGACAAGAGCCCTACCTTTGCTCTCAAACACGAAAATTTTCTCACTTAGTGTTCCATATGTAGGAGAGGTTGTCTGTTTTGATGTCTTAAAACTCAACGACCTAACTCGGTTTGTATGGCCAAAGACTTGGTCACACGTCCCCTCGACCGATGTAATATACTCATTTGGATAGTCCTATGCAAACTGCATAATAACAAATGATCCTTAGAAGCTATTCATGTAACTGAGTGTTATAAAATCCTTCTCATGCTATTTGGTAGAACTCATATTTTTTTGTAGTAAATTTGTAGCATTTTTGTAACGACCGTGGCCCAATAGAGTGGGGAAAGGCCCACTTGCATCACTAGGCCCATGGAAGCCCAACCCTAGGTGTGTCATCCCCTTCACCTCCTCACAAAACAAACGAGCAGCACCTCTTTATCGACGCCAAACCTCTGCCGGAGCTCCGTCAGCCTTGCCGCCGTCGTTTCTGACAAAGCCAGAGCTGCCAGACGTGAAGCCGTTGATCACCGAGATCCCCATGAAGCCTTTCCCGTGATAAGGAACGACCGTGAATCAATCCCGAGCCACCGTCTTCTCAACTGCACCGCCTTAACTCGCCGCCACCGCCGATCAGCTACTCCAAGTCACCGCCATCATCTGTGATTCACCGTGGTAAGTAGATCCAAGCCTTTCGTCACTTCCGTTGTGTTAACCCGCGAGTTGTTATATTAATAATCCGCCATTGTCATCCGTTTCTTCAGCCGTAAGCTTCACTATCTTCCTTATTGGTTTCGCTGTTACGTTGGGGGTGAATTTTGTCATTGCTTTGGGTAAGCAAGATCCCGCCATTGTTCCTCGTATTGGATTTGCGTTGATGTTGCACCATTGTTGCTTGCGTCTTATGGAACAATTGATCTCGTGTTGTTTCGGATCTGTCCGATCAGTTTCTCGAGTGTTCGTTCAGCTTCGTCACTTGTCCGTTTCATTTGCATCCGTGAGACTAAGGTGAGGACCGTAGTGGTGCAATCCGTTAATTACATTTATAATCACGTATATATGTTAAGTCTTAAGTAAGATACATATACCTACGTATATCTATAAGTATATGCGTATTTGGGTATTATATAATTATATAATATATATATATATATATGAGTGTTTATATTTGTTTGAAAGAACCTAGCTGTGTTTAGGATTGTTTAAAAATGAATACGGTTGATTGATGTGATGAATAGTGTGTGATAATGTGTGTGTAAAAATAATATCGTTTGCGAGACGATAGGATATGTTGCCCTGGAGCATGTGGCGGGTGTATCCGCGGGTTGAAATCATAAGTGCAAAGGGTTTTACCCTCACTGTGATACTTTTGCGTGTTGAGCTGTGACGACGGGCCTTGCGTGGGCGGTCATAGTTCAGGGTTGTCTGACGAGACGGGTGCTGCATGGGTGGATGGGATGATTACCGGAGCCAAATGAGTTGCAGGGACACTATAGTTTACTAGGACTTGATCTTTGTTGTAATAATGCGTCGGTAGGACGTGATGATTGTCTGTGTGCTTTAACTTGGGACTTGCGTATGTCCGTAGTTATAAATATGTATGATGGATTAAGTGGGCTCTAAGACTCACACTCACTGAGTATTGTTAGAATACTCACCCCTCTCCCTTGTAGGTGAGCGTGTGGAGTAGCCGGAGGAGTCGTATCGGTGTGGTGCTCGTTTTCGGGATCACGGGAGTTTTTATTTATTATTATTTTAAGTATTATTTATTTATTAAACTAAAATGGTTTTAGTAGGTTTTCTTATTTATTGGTTTAAAGATGGTTTTATGTCGAATCTGTTTAAACTTGGCTTAATAAGAGTTATAATTTGAACTCAGAATTGATTTGTTGTGGTTTAAGTTGATAAGTAACATGCTTTCTCGAAGAAGTAAGAGACGGATGTTACAATTTGGTATCAGAGCGGAGGTTTGCCAAACCGGTTCTGACCCGGGAGGCAGAGTTAGAAAAAAAAATATTTTATTCGGTTTGAGTTATATGATTACGGGTTTATTTGTTTATTTCGGATTTGTAAGAATATATTTTTATATATGTATATATACGTAAAAAAAAACAGATCTCTTTCGACTTTCGATTTAATGGTTAATTTCTTTATGAATACTAAATATTTTAAAAGTATTATTCCTTTATTTTTTTTTGATTAAATTGTTTCCAAAGTTATTGATTAATTTCAAAAATATTAAATATTTTCAAATATTATTAAGTAAAAAAAAAAAAAGGGGAGAGTTTTATTAAAAAAAAAAAAAAAAGAGCACCACCAGGATCGAACTTGCTTTGGTTTGTGTTGTTGGTTGTTGTGTTTAGTTCGTCTTGAAGAGTCTGACCATTTGTTGTTTTTATTTAAAGATGCCGCCAAAGAGAGGACGTGGAAGAGCTGCTGTTCGCCCGAGGGCAAGAGTGGAAACCCCAACTGCATCGTGCGAAAGTGTGCACAATGAGAACTCAGAGCAAGTGAATGCTGCCGAAGCAGCTGCAGCTCAAGAGAATGCCAGAGCCGCTGAGCATGCAGCTGTGTTAGAAGAGCTTCAGAGGTACCGAGCTCAATTTGGGAATTTGTCCGAGAATCCAGTGGGAAGAGGAGCTGCACCATCGCATGTTGAGCTGAATGTTGCTGCACACAACCAGCATCCACCTATGCCACCGGTTGTACAAGCACCAGTGCATGGACTAACATATTGGGAGGCCATGGACCGTTTGAAAAGCATGGGCACAGACCTATTTGAGGGTAAGTCCAACCCAACAGCCGCAGATTACTGGAAGAAAAGATTGGAGCGGAACCTTGATGCTTTCAGGTGCCCAGTAGAGTATCGTAAGGATCTGGCAATTCAGTATTTGAAAGATGAGGCACTAGTGTGGTGAAAGCAACGCGGGGGCGTTATGAGCTGAACTGGGATGACTTCAAGGAAGAGTTTTTCAGGAAATACTTTCCGCGTGAAGCCATGGATCAGATGGAGGGTGAATTTCAGGATCTTCGTCAGGGGAACCGAAACATCAGGGAGTATGAGGAAGAGTTCAACCGCTTGAAAAAGTTTGCAGGCAAGTTCATGGATGAGCATGAGGAGATTCGTAGGTTCATAAAGGGAATGCGGATTGAGCTTAAGAACCATTGCCAGTTGAGGACTTACAATGACATGGTCGAGTTAGTTGAAATCGCAGCAATGCAGGAAAAAGGGTTAGAAGAGGAGCTTAAGCAGAATAAGAATGTCCAAGCAAGGGCAGACAAGGGAGCGGAAAACCATAAGAGGACATGGGACACCGCAAATACAGGACAATCATCAGCCACACCTAATGTGTGTGAAGCGTGTGGGAGAAGGCACCATGGAATTTGCAACAAGAGGAATATAGTCTGTTACAAGTGTAATCGGCTGGGGCATTATCAGAAAGACTGCACATGGAGGGCACAACCTTTCAGAGGCTGTCATCGTTGTGGGCAAACTGGTCATATCGCTAAGGACTGCATGACTGAGCTACCAGGTCAGCAGCTAGGAGACCGTAACCAGGGACAGCTACCACCACCACCAGCGAGGCTAGCGATAGCACCACGCGCTTTTATTGCTGGAGACCATAATGACGCCGACTCAATTACCGGTACATATTGTTTTATTTTTACTTCTACCATGCTTAAGGACTGTGGTAAAAGTTTGTGTGTGAAGTTGAATGGCATGCTTAGTCGTATGTAAAATATATGTGAAATTGGTTTTGGTTGGGGGTTGGCTAGCCTTACACTTTCTAATACCTGTGCGGCACACAGTTTTGTGAGCCCATGATTGACAAAGTATTGGACCTTTGCGGGAATATTTTTTTTTTCCACAGAAGAAATGGATTCAGAAGGATGATACAGAAAAGTAGAGTCTACCGGGATCTACCATTATACTCCAAGGGATGGAATTAACGAAAAATCTCAGAGAAATGGAATATGACCACGACGACATGATTTTTAGAAATGGACGGACTAACCCATCTGCATTGAATGTCACCATACAAGAGTATATACAGGAGGGAGAGGTTACCCGCGAGGAACAATTGGAGCGAGAAACTTAAATGCTAGATAACTTTCCCGGGCTCTTTAAGGACAAGAGCGGTCTTACGGGAAACATATCGAATTCAGGGACGAATTTTTCTTAAGCAGGGGAGAATTGTAACGACTGTGGCCCAATAGAGTGGGGGAAGGCCCACTTGCATCACTAGGCCCGTGGAAGCCCAACGCTAGGTGTGTTATCCCCTTCACCTCCTCCCTCGTCAAAAAGCTGCAACACAAAACAAACGAGCTGCACCTCTTTGTAGACACCGAACCTCTGCCGGAGCTCCGTCAGCCTTGCCGCCGTCGTTTCTGACAAAGCCAGAGCTGCCAGACGTGAAGTCGTTGATCACCGAGATCCCCATGAAGCCTTTCTCGTGATAAGGAACGACCATGAATCAATCCCGAGCCACCGTCTTCTCAACTGCGCCGCCTTAACTCGCCCCCACCGCCGATCAGCTACTCCAAGTCACCGCCATCATCTGTGATTCACCGTGGTAAGTAGATCCAAGCCTTTCGTCACTTCCATTGTGTTAACCCGCGAGTTGTTATATTAATGATCCGCCATTGTCATCCGTTTCTTCAGCCGTAAGCTTCACTATCTTCCTTATTGGTTTCGCTGTTACGTTGGGGGTGAAGTTTGTCATTGCTTTGGGTAAGCAAGATCCCGTCATTGTTCCTCGTATTGGATTTGCGTTAATGTTGCACCATTGTTGCTTGTGTCTTAAGGAACAATTGATCTCGTGTTGTTTCAGATCTGTCCGATCAGTTTCTCTAGTCTTCGTTCAGCTTCGTCACTTGTCCGTTTCATTTGCATCCGTGAGACTAAGGTGAGGACCGTGGTGGTGTAATCCGTTAATTACATTTATAATCACGTATATATGTTAAGTCTTAAGTAAGACACATATACCTACGTATATCTATAAGTATATGCGTATTTGGGTGTTATATAATTATATAGTATATATATATATGTGAGTGTTTATATTTGCTTGAAAGAACCTAGCTGTGTTTAGGATTGTTTAAAAATGAATACGGTTGATTGATGTGATGAATAGTACGAGATAATGTGTGTGTAAAAATAGTATCGTTTGCGAGACGATATGATATGTTGCCCTGGGGCATGTGGCGGGTGTATCCGCGGGTTGAAATCATAAGTGCAAAGGGCCTTACCTTCACTGTGATACTTTTGCGTGTTGAGCTGTGACGACGGGCCTTGCGTGGGCGGTCATAGTTCAGGGTTGTCTGACAAGACGGGTGCTGCATGGGTGGATGGGATGATTCCCGGAGCCAAATGAGTTGCAGGGACACCATAGTTTACTAGGACTTGATCTTTGTTGTAATGGTGCGTCGGTGGGACGTGATGATTGTCTGTGTGCTTTAACTTGGGACTTGCGTATGTCCGTAGTTATAAATGTGTATGATGGATTGAGTGGGTTCTAAGGCTCGCACTCACTGAGTATTGTTAGAATACTCACCCCTCTCCCTTGCAGGTGAGCGTGTGGAGTAGCCGGAGGAGTCGTATCGGTGTGGTGCTCGTTTTCGGGATCACGGAAGTTTTTATTTATTATTATTTTAAGTATTATTTATTTATTAAACTAAAATGGTTTTAGTAGGTTTTCTTATTTATTGGTTTAAAGATGGTTTTATGTCGAATCGGTTTAAACTTGGTTTAATAAGAGTTATAATTTGAACTCAGAAATGATTTGTTATGGTTTAAGTTGATAAGTAACATGCCTTCTCGAAGAAGTAAGAAACGAATGTTACAATTTGGTATCAGAGCGGAGGTTTGCCAAACCGGTTCTGACCCGGGAGGCAGAGTTAGAAAAAAAAATATTTTATTCGGTTTGAGTTATATGATTACATGTTTATTTGTTTATTTCAGATTTGTAAGAATATATTTTTATATATGTATATATACGTAAAAAAAAAAGCTGATCTCTTTCGACTTTCGATTTAATAGTTAATTTCTTTATGAATACTAAATATTTTAAAAGTATTATTCCTTTATTTTTTTTTGATTAAATTGTTTCCAAAGTTATTGATTAATTTCAAAAATATTAAATATGTTCAAATATTATTAAGTAAAAAAAAAAGGGGTAGAGTTTTATAAAAAAAAAAAAAAGAGCACCACCAGGATCGAACTTGCTTTGGTTTATGTTGTTGGTTGTTGCGTTTAGTTCGTCTTGAAGAGTCTGACAATTTGTTGTTTTTATTTAAAGATGCCGCCAAAGAGAAGACGTGGAAGAGCTGCTGTTCGCCCGAGGGCAAGAGTGGAAACCCCAACTGCATCGTCTGAAAGTGTGCACAATGAGAACTCAGAACAAGTGAATGCTGCCGAAGCAGCTGCAGCTCAAGAGAATGCCAGAGCCGCTGAGCATGCAGCTGTGTCAGAAGAGCTTCAGAGGTACCGAGGTCAATTGGGGAATTTGCCCGAGAATCAAGTGGGAAGAGGAGCTGCACCACCGCATGTTGAGCCGAATGTTGCTGCACACAACCAGCATCCACCTCCGCCACCGGTTGTACAAGCACCAGTGTAGGGACTAACATATTGGGAGGCCATGGACCGTTTGAAAAGCATGGGCACAGACCTATTTGAGGGTAAGTCCAACCCAACAGCCGCAGATTACTGGAAAAGATTGGAGCGGAACCTTGATGCTTTCAGGTGCTCAGTGGAGTATCGTAAGGATCTGGTAGTTCAGTATTTGAAAGATGAGGCACTAGTGTGGTGGGATTGTGTGGTGAAAGCAACGCGGGGGCGTTATGAGCTGAACTGGGATGACTTCAAGGAAGAGTTTTTCAGGAAATACTTTTCGCGTGAAGCCATGGATCAGATGGAGGGTGAATTTCAGGATCTTCGTCAGGGGAACCGAAACATCAAGGAGTATGAGGAAGAGTTCAACCGCTTGAAAAGGTTTGCAGGCAAGTTCATGGATGAGCATGAGGAGATTCGTAGGTTCATAAAGGGAATGCGGATTGAGCTTAAGAACCGTTGCCAGTTGAGGACTTACAATGACATGGTCGAGTTAGTTGAAATCGCAGCAATGCAGGAAAAAGGGTTAGAGGAGAAGCTTAAGCAGAATAAGAATGTCCAAGCAAGGGCAGACAAGGGAGCGGAAAACTAAAAGAGAACATGGGACACCGCAAATGCAGGACAATCATCAGCCACACCTAATGTGTGTGAAACATGTGGGACAAGGCACCATGGAATTCGCAACAAGAGGAATATCGTCTGTTACAAGTGTAATCAGCTGGGGCATTATCAGAAAGACTGCACATGAAGGGCACAACCTTTCAGAGGCTGTCATCGTTGTGGGCAAACTGGTCATATCGCTAAGGACTGCATGACTGAGCTACCAGGTCAGCAGCTAGGAGACCGTAACCAGGGACAGCTACCACCACCACCAGCAAGGCTAGCGATAGCACCACGCGCTTTTATTGCTGGAGACCATAATGGTGCCGACCCAATTACCGGTACGTATTGTTTTATTTTTACTTCTATCATGCTTAAGGACTGTGGTAAAAATTTGTGTGTGAAGTTGAATGGCATGCTTAGTCGTAAGTAAAATATATGTGAAATTGGTTTTGGTTGGGGGTAGACTAGCCTTACGCTTTCTAATACCTGTGCGGCACACAGTTTTGTGAGTCCGTGATTGACAAAGTATTGGACCTCTGCGGGAATATTTTTTTTTTCCACAAAAGAAATGGATTCAGAAGGATGATACGGAAAAGTAGAGTCTACCGGGATTTACCATTATACTACAAGGGATGGAATTAACGAAAAATCTCAGAGAAATGGAGTTTGACCACTACGACATGATTTTTAGAAATGGACGGACTAACCCATCTGCATTGAAATGTCACCATACAAGAGTATATACAGGAGGGAGAGGTTACCCGCGAGGAACAATTGGAGCGAGGAACTCAAATGCTAGATAACTTTCCCGAGCTCTTTAAGGACAAGAGCGGTCTTACGGGAAACATATCGAATTCAGGAACGAATTTTTCTAAAGCAGGGGAGAATTGTAACGACCGTGGCCCAATAGAGTGGGGGAAGGCCCACTTGCATCACTAGGCCCATGGAAGCCCAACCCTAGGTGTGTCATCCCCTTCACCTCATCCCCCGTCAAAAAGCTGCAACACAAAACAAACGAGCCGCACCTCTTTATCGACGCCGCAGCTCTGCCGGAGCTCCGTCAGCCTTGCCGCCGTCTTTTCTGACAAAGCCAGAGCTGCCAGACGTGAAGCCGTTGATCACCGAGATCCCCATGAAGCCTTTCCAGTGATAAGGAACGACCGTGAATCAATCCCGAGCCACCGTCTTCTCAACTGCGCCGCCTTAACTCGCCACCACTGCCGATCAGCTACTCCAAGTCACCGCCATCATCTGTGATTCACCGTGGTAAGTAGATCCAAGCCCTTCGTCACTTCCGTTGTGTTAAGCCGCGAGTTGTTATATTAATGATCTGCCATTGTCATCCGTTTCTTCAGCCGTAAGCTTCACTATCTTCCTTATTGGTTTTGCTGTTACGTTGGGGGTGAAGTTTGTCATTGCTTTGGATAAGCAAGATCCCGTCATTGTTCCTCGTATTGGATTTGCGTTGATGTTGCACCATTGTTGCTTGCGTCTTAAGGAACAATTGATCTCGTGTTGTTTCAGATCTGTGCGATCAGTTTCTCGAGTCTTCGTTTAGCTTCGCCACTTGTCCATTTCATTTGCATCCGTGAGACTAAGGTGATGACCGTGGTGGTGCAATCCGTTAATTACATTTATAATCACGTATATATGTTAAGTCTTAAGTAAGACACATATATCTACGTATATCTATAAGTATATGCGTATTTGGGTGTTATATAATTATATAGTAAATATATATGTGAGTGTTTATATTTGTTTGAAAGAGCCTAGCTGTGTTTAGGATTGTTTAAAAATGAATACGATTGATTGATGTGATGAATAATGCGTGATAATGTGTGTGTAAAAATAGTATCGTTTGCGAGACGATAAGATATGTTGCCCTGGAGCATGTGGCGGGTGTATCCGCGGGTTGAAATCATAAGTACAAAAGGTTTTACCCTCATTGTGATACTTTTGCGTGTTGAGCTGTGAAGACGGGCCTTGCATGGGCGGTCATAGTTCAGGGTTGTCTGACGAGACGGGTGCTGCATGGGTGGATGGGATGATTCCTGGAGCCAAATGAGTTGCAGGGACACCATAGTTTACTAGGACTTGATCTTTGTTGTAAAGGTGCGTCGGTAGGACGTGATGATTGTCTGTGTGCTTTAATTTGGGATTTGTGTATGTCCGTAGTTATAAATGTGTATGATGGATTGAGTGGGCTCTAAAGCTCGCACTCACTGAGTATTGTTAGAATACTCACCCCTCTCCTTTGCAGGTGAGCGTGTGGAGTAGCCGGAGGAATCGTATCGGTGTGGTGCTCGTTTTCAGGATCACGGAAGTTTTTATTTATTATTATTTTAAGTATTATTTATTTATTAAACTAAAAATGGTTTTAGTAAGTTTTTTATTTATTGGTTTAAAGATGGTTTTATGTCTTATCGGTTTAAACTTGATTTAATAAAAAATAATTTAAACTCAAAAATGATTTGTTATGGTTTAAGTTGATAAGTAACATGCCTTCTTGAAAAAGTAAGAGACGGATGTTACAATTTTACCCCAATAAACCAAAGGTTAAGTACGTTTCAACGAGTACCTCCTTATGTCCTGCTTGGGTCCTATTTTCTCCAAGCCTATCCCCGTTTTGACGGGTTTCCACTTTGCCATCTTTGTCATAATCGACCATGATAGGAGCTATCCGAGGGGGATTATATGTAACATATATACACCTTTCTTACACCAGTGTATATACCATGGTCCCATGGGTTGCCTCCAGAACCACCTGGGCATCCTAGTTTAATACGAGCAAGTGTTGTGAAATAAGCTCCAAGAGATTTTAGGTTTGTCTCAACAGATCCATGGAACCCAATGATTTTGTTCCCACCGACTTCAAGTATAAACTTAGTGCCATTCTCATCATATCCCATTACTTCAGAACTCCTCAGGTTGGTTTCGAATTGAAGTGCTTGAATAATACCGGATGTGTTATCGTAGCAACCCTTAGCAGACATCAGATGTTCCTGGTTGAGATGGTTCAACTCAAACTGTAAGAAAAACAATTTTGGTCAGTGATATATTCGATATAATATGATATTTCCTCCTAATACAATTATTTAATTATATATTTTTGAAAAAGATTCATAACTTGTCACGTTTATGGTAAACACAACTAATTATATCAAAAAAAATTAAAGGTGATTTAATCAGATCTCTTAGCATTCGATCTCATATATATGTATGGTACATTGCATCTTCAAATAAAAAGGGAGAATACATTAGACATACCGTTTGTGTGAAACCTTTACCCGAGACACCATGGATTGGTCCAACAGTTGTTTTTCCGGCCTTGATATACTCAAACTTGATGAATTGAATTCCTACTCGTACATGTATCTTTGTTACGTTTTCATAATCGGCTCCATCATCCCATTGATTCCCTCCCTTTCCCCCTTTTGCTTCCACCTTACGGGCCATCAAGTAGTGATTCGAATCTGCACTTAGAGTTTTTTTTCTTGGTTTCTCATCAAATAATTTGAGTCATTACCCACTTGAGAAAACATGTAAAATTAATTGTAGAAACAAGTTAAAGCAGAATAGATGAGCAATGCAAAATAACTACTATGTAACCTTTAAAACCTGAAGATATGTGTCCTGTTATACAATTTGAAAAGTATGAATACCTTTTATAAGGGGATTTCATATAATTTACAGACAAATCAAGATTACCTCTTATGCTGGAGAAGAGAGATATAGAGAGCTGATGAACTATGTGGATTAATGGTTTATAAGCAGGTGGTGAAGGTGCCTTTTTATACACAATTTTAAAATTTGTATTAGAAAATTATCATATTAATAAATAAAAGTTAGATAATTTTTTCCTATTAAAAAACTGTTTATAAAAAGACACATTAACCTAACTTTTCATTTTAAAGACAGTACAAAACACCTTCACCTAATCAAATATATTCATTTCTAGCCGAAAAAATTTAAAACTTTGTATTAAGAAGGCATCTTCACCTAACTAATAAGATCAGTTTTGATTAACATTTTCTAACTTATTACTCTTGCTTTGGTAAATACCGATGGTCGATTGTGGGTCTTGCCGCTGAAAACAAATCTGCAACACAAGTAAACATCTGGCAGCTTTAAAAACATTGCAGAGCGTTTACCAAACATTTTTTTAAAAATAGCTTGATAAATATTGGGACTTTTTCCCATAATTCAAAAAAAAAAAAAACTTCATATTGGCATATGGTTTGACACCCTTGTGTCAATTATACAAGAGCCACATAAAACACCTAAAAACCGTTCTTCGCCTCTTTTTTTAGGTTGATCAAACTTATGATTATGAAAATATAACAAATACCAAAATCGTTGAAATCACTATACTAAAGTCAAAATCGTTGAAATCACTAAACATGTATCTATTGTATATCACTGAAATCACTAATACCAAAGTCAGTAGTTATGGCCGATCTTGATCTCATCCCACATCAAATCGACACACCGTTTCTATCCACACTAGAACTATGATTTCGAGGTCAATCTCAAATATTCTAATCTATAATTTATCTTCATATATATATATATATATATAAACGAATTAACTTAGTGGAAAAAAACCAATCATCCCATAAGTTGATGATCTCTAATCTTACATTAATCACAAATATATGGATGAGTAACGAATTGCTCATTAAAAGCGGCTATTACTTATTCATGTCAACGTGCTTCGATGATAATCACTAAATATGAGAAAATATAAGATAGTGGTTAGGTGGGTTGAAGCATTTTAGTTTTTATTTTGTCTTTGCAAAAGCTGTAGGTGCCGCTTTCAAGGAAAGACCTTATATGAATTTGCGTGTGGCAATGACAATGAAAAAGTTTAAATTTTCGAGTATAAGTTTTTCGAAATCGATGTTTCGTCTTCAGAATTCTGCTGGGCAGTTTTGATGAGTGTTAGGCTCAAAAATTTTAGTTTTCTTTTTAGTATAATTTGTAATCTTTGGTGTTTTCTATTAGATTTTGGAATTTCTGACTTTTTAGTTATCTCTTTAATTCTGTCACAATTCAAAAATTGATATAAAATTTTACATTTTTTTTTTAAAAGGACGCAAGTATTAAAGAAACATCCATACATTTTTTCTAAACCGTTGAAATAAATAATACTAGGTGGTTTGCCCGCACGCCTGTGCAAGCCACAAACTATCAAGAAAAAAATTCATAAATAGATCAAAAATAATAATGTTCAGAAACCAAAAAAAAAATCAAAAAAAATATTATAACAGACTATGTTATTATCATCCCAAAATGTAGTAGCCATACTAATAACTAAATGTTATTAGCGCTCATTACGTCACGAAGACTTCTTGCTTCTACAAATAGAGGGTTCAATAAAACTTGCGAACATTTGAAAGTGGTTTATATTCTCCAATAATTATTCCTTCGAACAATCGATACAAACCTCATTATACAGATAGCGAGCTGCTGATTGCATGACGACCAAGCTTCGAGAAAATCCTTTGAATATTTATTTTTCAAAAGTACTGGAACTTGCGAGCCACTGTTACTATTGTAATAGATAAAACGCTCATTGTCACCCAAAAACCTTAAATGGAGCATATCAACATGCACCAATAAAAATTAGAAAAATATACTGTTCATCCACAAGTTCAAAAGTTATGTCGGTTCGCTTACAAAAACCAAGCGCATGAACTCCTCTAAAATTCCCAACATTAACAACTCGACTGATTACGTCTGAAATACAAACACTATATGAGTAATTTAGATTAGCCAAACAAAACTAAACACAGCCAATAGAACTCACTACGGGAGGAGTCTTAACAAATACCGTACGTGGCAGACAATGGATCATATAATTGTGCATAATACTTGGTCGAAACTTTCCGAAAACAGGTATTAGTTCGAAATCACACAACAGAATCCAATCACCCTCACGAATCTCCGATACGAATATAGACGCTATATCTTCGCATAATACTGCATGAATTTTATCACCTTACAAAATCACGACCATTAATATTCTTTTTTATCGATCACCTATAGTTAAACACATGAACATATAGATTAACTAACTCAGAAAACAATCACTTACCTTGTTATCAACCAATATAAGGTTAGTCATCTCTCTGACACCGACAAAGAACATTCACCCTAGCACTCCACCTATGATTAAACGGTTCCAATTCAGACACTTTGTAGAGAACCTTGTCGAATTTTTGACAAATACTTCTCGAGAGTAAGTGAGCTATGGGGATTCTTCGATCTGTAGACGTTAATAATATCGAAGCAGATTCAGTTATTAACAAAGGATTAGTATATAAGAAGAAGTAAGTAAATAACCAACATAGCTCAAACACCATTAAGAAAATATATATGTAATATTTACTATATAATATCCTTTTTTCTGGAAAGATTAGTACATATCTATACCAATAGAATATATCTGTAATATACATAAATTGCAGGGTTATAGTCAATTAATATTTATCAATGATATACTTTTTCCTATTTAGAATATTTCCTTATGCCGTTATATGACAATTTAAAGATATAATTTGAACAAATATTACGAAAATATGAATCGTGTATAATATTCTTTTTCGAAAGAAGCAAAATTCCATAGATGGAGAAAAATCCCAAAATTACGCAGCTTGTTATAATAAAACTATAAAATGAATAAGACACCACAAAAGATAGAAATATATTAATGCAAATAATGAAATCATTAATATCACTGTCTTCAGAGTTATCTGAAGTATTACATACGCAAAAATAAAAACCATACTTTAACGAAAACTTAAATCCTCGCACCGAGTGTTAAAAGACTCCAAACCAGCATTGATGCTCTAATGTTTTCTTGCTAACCTGCAAAGTATTTTTAATGTCATTACTCAATAATACAAATAACAGAATGAAACTCAAATATACTGGATAGATTTACAGAGATCTGAATTCGGTAACCTCTGCGAAGCAGGGATCCATCATGATCTTAGTAGGAGGAGCCGAAGATATAACAATATTACCTATATAAAGGTAACCGATATTTTAAAACATACTTGTTTTAAACAATATATCAAATAAATATCAAATAGTACAAACATTCGTAGACATCAACGATCGCCCATCTTGCAACAAAAATCACTGTATCATTGGCACATCCAAACCAACCAGTATGGAACATGCGAGCATCATCGTCAAACATCTTTCATTTGATACGAACATTGCTGCATAAATGCAAACAAGCGTGTTAAATCAAATATCAACATTCAAAATCCAAAGAAACAAAATTATAGTTACAACAATATACCTGAGACTCATTAGTTCAAATGCTATCATTGCACATCCACCAGTTCCCTTATGAACACAATGCTTCGTTGAGATTTCCAGCTTTCCAACATTGATAACTTTTCCAGTTAAGTCTAAAATACACACAATTTACACAGTAAATATTCAAAATACTGTAAACTTTGTTAATGTCGAAATTTACAGAAAGCGGATACGAACATACCAACCGAAGAAGTACCGATAGGAACCTTGCTGAGAATCCTCTCAAAGTCAACGAACTTGGAAAAATTTCGTTCAGACTGATAATCTTGCATATGAACAATGGTTGGACTAACGATAAGCAAGTGAACATGATTAGATGTAACAATAAATTGGTGATCCGTATCAACAACAACAAATTTTTTAATTGTAACCCAATCACCCTCACGTAACTGAGGCGAAAAACGATCGTAATCATTAGCGTGAACTGTACCACAAATCTCCATGTCCTGCATCGTAACATTTAATTAATAATGAAATAACAACCTATGCAAAACTACACACCAGAGTTCACTAATTCAACAACACATCACGAACCTTATTATCACAAAAAGTATTTCCAGTCTTACATCATATGGATCAAACGAATTAGTCCACACTCGTAATATCTTCACCAAAACAACTGTCTCAACAAAACCAGGACTCAAAGATGAAACACCAAAAGAAGATGGGTCAAACGGATTTGCTTTTTGAGTAGACTCTATGTCAAAAAGCAAGCTCGTGGATACTATACGTCTATTATAGATACGGAAACAGCCAAATATAAAGAATATATATAACAAATATTACAAATAAATATCTCATATATAAAAAAATATGTAGATGTAAATAGATACGGTATCCAACAATATAGAAATTCCGATCAGTCAACATTAATAACGAGCATATTACCTTTAATTTAATAGAAGATTTATATATAAAATTGAGATATTCAAATCTATCGATTATAGATCCACATACACGTTCGTATTTATCCAAAAGAAAGATTATATAAAAAATTTAAATATATACACATTCATTTTTATCTAAAAAAGGATTATATAAATAAAATGTAAATATTTTGAATAAAATATAAAAAGTGTAAATCATGGAATACGCTTAAAAGTGAAAAAATATATTCTGTCTAAAACCCTAGCCCGATAGTTAGCATGGTTATATGTAGGGTATTAATTTCCTCCAGTTCGCTCATAAATCTTTAACGCTAGATATCACTTCAACCATAATGATACATCTTCTAAACCATTCTCGAATATGTGTTAGAATACAATAACATGCGACTCATTCGGTTTTATAAAAGCGAAATGTTCCAATTGATGAACATAC